AAAACCACATCCCTTATAGATTATTCCAAAATAGAAACCTCTAATTCGCAACTTCTCGACAAAAACTACAAAGATATTGTCACTTTCTTTTGGCAATCAAAACTTGATGATTTGCATAACAAAATAATGGACGATATTTTTGAAGAAGATATAAATTTTACGTTTAACAAAATTAACATTTTTTCTAGCAAAACCGTCAAAGGCAGGAAATATTATATAATCCCTCTTCCATATGACAATGAAACTGTAGTTCAACATTTATTCTATATTTTATTCACAGCTAAAAATGACTTTGATCTTTCAAAACTGTATTGTATTGAAAATAATTTACAACTTCCAATATTAGAAGTATTCTCCTTTATATTTTCCGAAAAGGATATAAAACTAAGAATCTGCCAAGATATAGTTCGAACTCCCGATCAAGATGAAATCCCTATCATTTTAGACCAATACCATTCAGGAAAAAATAATTTACATCGCGGAATCAACGAAACAGTTAAGCGCATAAAGCAAAAATACAATTGGCCAACCTTGACCAAAGATGTCGAAAACTATATTAGAAAGTGCGAAATATGTCAAAAAGTCAAGATCTATCGTAAAAACCTCAACACACCATTAGTTATCACAGAAACTCCTAAAACTCCTTTTGAGCGCATTAACATCGATATTTTCGAATTCCCAGTTCGTAATTACGCCCTTACCATAAGAGACGAACTCACAAAATTCACCCAGGCATATCCAATAAAAGACAAAAAAGCTTCTACAATCGTTACTACCCTCCTTCTCTACTTCCAACATTTTGGAACTCCTCTTAGAATACATTGTGACCATGGCCGGGAATTTGATAACTCCCTCGTCAAAGATCTTTGTCTTTTGTACGATATAAAGTTAACTTTCTCCAGCGTTAGCCACCCACAATCTAATGGATCACTAGAAAGATTCCATGCCACGCTCACAGAAATGATCCGAGCTCATAAAGCCGAAAATCCAAAAGAACACCCCTTTCATGCTCTTCCATACGCAATAATCTGCTACAACAACACAAAGAATAAAACGCATGGTTTTTCCCCTTATGAACTAATATTTGGGCACACTTCTAGTAGACCTCCAGAAATTCTGTATAATGAAGAACAACTCATCACCAAATACATCCGAGACTTAAATAATCGCATGCAGCATTATTACAGAGTCGCGCGTACCCGCACTGATCAACAAAAACAAAAATCCAAAGTAAGATTTGATCAAGCAATCTCTAGAAATATGACTAAATATAATGTAGGAGATAAAGTTTATGTTAAGGAAACTCAAATTAGCGATAAAGCTCAGAATAAATTTAACGGTCCGTATGAAATTCTTGAAGTATTTGAAACTTCAGCCACTGTCAAAAATTTAACTACCGAACAAGTTTCAAAATTCAATTTTGACAAGTTTAAACCTTATTACGATTAGATTAAATTTCTTTCAGGATCTTGGGACTGATCTCTACAGTCGCACCCCAATTCCTCATTACTCCAGTAAATAATACAGTAGGCATCTTCTACCATGAAGAAAGTAGTTTAAGAATATCCAACAACAAATGGACGCTGCTAGTATATAAGGAACTAGAACCTCTGCGAGAAGCCATACGACATAATAATAAAATACTTTCCTCTCTCACAGAAATGTTAGACGATTCTTCTCCTCGTATGACAGCCTTCAAAACAAGTATCCAAACTCATTTTAGTCTTCTAACCAGAATTGCTGACTCAGTCGAAGAAAAATTTTCAGAAATTACTATCGACACTGAAAATTTTAATTTTAGAACTAAACGCGGTTTAATTAACGGTGTAGGAACTATTTTTAAATCAATTACCGGAAACCTAGACTCTACAGACGGCGAATACTTTAATGAATGCATAGATAAAGTAACTAAAGACGAACACGAAATCGAAAAGCTGTTAAAAAATCAAATATCGGTTACATCATCTGTTATAAAATCTTTTAATTCTACAATTCAAAGTCTCCGAATCGACGAAGAAACTTTCAATCAGGATCTAACTCAAATTCAAAAATCTCTCTATGATATTTCGGACACCGTAGCATTTTACGAAAGTCAAATTAAAACACTTAATCTTTGCGAAAGCCTTATGGAAAGTTATGTATACCTAGAGTCTTACCTCAGCGATATATTAAACGCAATCACGTTCGCACGAATCAAAGTTTTACATAGTTCTATTATTTACCCACGAGATTTAGTCATTTCTCTTCAGGAAATTTCAAAATCCTTGACAAAAAATAATTTACCACTACCACCCTATACTTCGAGCATTGCAAGGTACGTAGATATTATGGAGCTAGAAGCATTTCAAACTGAAAATAAAGTTGTTTTTGTACTAAGAATACCCTTAATTGAGCCTGAAATATACACATTGTATCGTGTTTTACCTATTCCAATTTTGGACAATCGAACACGATTATTTCATATAATTCCATCAACAATAAAATATATTGCGCGTGATGACGATTCTTTACTCTATGTACTACCTGAAGATCTAAAAAGCTGCAAACAAATTCGCGGTAAAGAAAGAATCTGTTTTAACTTAATGCAATATCCCATCGATAGAGAAGCCCTTTGCGAAGCGCAGTTGCTTAGACATTCCGATCGTGTTCCTGTTACATGTCAATCTTCAATCGTCTTGGCCTCCGATTACAATGTTATAGAAATCGACTTTAATTATTGGTTAATTACCGTATCCGAACCACTACCAATCTCCATTAAATGTGGAAAAAGAGACCTCGTAGCCGAAATGTTAAAAACTAATTCTTTACTTAAACTACAACCAGATTGCAGTGCATTTATTGGAAGCTCCAGAGTACGAGCTAAATACTTTGTCGAAGAATATAAGAACGTGACCTACAAGAGCCACGCCGTGGAGATTCCATATGATTGCTGTTCTCACATTCCAGAGAAGTTTCAACCCCCAGAGTTGAAACCCCTGAAGCTAAGTAAGATCGACACCGACGACCTTAACGTGGCCCAACACAAGCTGCACGAATATTCGGAAAAATTAGAAAACCTACTTCATCAACCAACCCTTCAGAAACATTCTCACTGGCTGACAATTATTTCGATTATTTTAATGATTGTTTTAGTACTTTGCTATTTCGTTTGCAAGTGCCGGAGAAAGAAACCGACAACACTCAGCATCGCCGATGGTAACGATCCCCAACAACCTCCGAAGCCAAGTCGAAGACCCCTGCTCCCGATGCAACTCAAATCACTAACTCCGAAAAGACGGACTAGCATCCACCCAGAAGTAACTACCCGAGAAGCTACGCTTTAATTAGTCTACGAAAAGCTGCAGCTAGGCTCCACCTTTTCACTTAATGGGGGAGCTGTTATATCCGGAAATCCTATTGTCCATATGGGTTAAATGCCACCGACCTGCAAGAGTGCAACGATTGCGAAAACGTCGTGTCAACGATATGTCGCAACATCCGCAGCCGTCGACCCCGTGAACGTCAGCATAAATTTATTATAAATACCAATTTCTATTGTAACACGTTGTCTGATAACATTCTCTCATCACGAGGTTATTATGTCCATTTTTAGTTTGATTTTAACGGTCTAATAACATTCTCTCGTCACGAGGTTATTACGTCCAATTTCATTTTGATTTTTATTTTAATTTAAAGTTAATAAATATATTTTTTTAAAAAGTTATTTTTGAAAAGTGAAATATAAAATATATATATATATATATATATATATATATATATATATATATATATATATATATATATATATATATATATATATATATATATATATATATATATATATATATATATATATATATATATATATATATTCGCGACGACTGGTGATAGTGGAGAACCCATAGCTGTTCCCGACGTTTGTTCAAAAATTTGACCGTTATTAGAAAAATATATTCCCGATAAGCATTTTTCAATTAAGGTGGAAAGGTGTGGTTCCAGATTCTCGGATTTTAATATATCTGAAATTATGTCGAGAGTTTCAGGAGTAAAATACCTCCCAGTTTCAGTCAAGCTCTGAAGAAGCCAACAGGATGATTGGCGAAACGTCAGTAATTTCGACTAAGCAAAAACCGACGCAGGAGGAATCCAGAAGTTTTGTAAGAAGCAGCAATGGTTTTTTGTTGAAAAATATAATTTTTGTAAGCCTACAATTATGTATTAAGTACTTTCAAGGCAGTTGCACAAATACAGATCTTTATTGTTATTATTAAGCGAAAAATCATAACCACAACCACAGAAATGGGACCAAAAAATAAATGTAATTGAATCAAATTCTGCAATTAATGCATCTGCCGGCCTAATTAAATTGCTCAGTATGTTATCCCATTACCTTGTTTTTCTTTGGTGGTATATTTGGAACATATAAAACAATTAACCCACCAATGATCCATCAACATGTTCCTTATTTCTGCAACATGGGCAAATGATAGAGAGTGGCTGTTTCAATCAGTGTTACAATGTTGAAATCCACCAGAAACGGATCACTGAAAAATTATCGAACAAAAAATTTTGAAAATCTTTGAGAGAAGCTGCCATTTGATAATGTCTTTCTTGACACGTGAAAAAGTTATGCGAAACATTACTCTTTTTTTTGGCATGGTCTGTTCTCTCTCATTAGCAAAATTTTCCTAATTTATCGTTCTATAATCAATGCGACTAAACTGACGCCAACGCCCACATTAAAAAGTTTGTTGGTAACGCTCAACAATCTTCATTTACAATAAATTATGGAACTGGGGTTTTAAAGCTCAGAATGACGAATTGAAATTCCGAATTTCGGTAATCCCGCCCTTAGCAGTAGCAAAACAAAGATAAATCAACTTACGCTTGTTTAAGTTAACGCTTAAATATGCGGGGCAATCTTGCCTAGTACCCATCCAACGTTTCCGTTAATATGACAAACGATTACAGTAAAACACGCCAACGCACGATGAGGAATTTGGAATTGAAAATGCACTTACTTGTGCCAAATGCGACTGCTTCGTCGTGTCCTTAAGATTCGGTAGGTGGGATGAAAACTGGGACACCAACACCGAGCGGCTTCTTGTCACGGACCGGGCAAGTTTTGCGAATTTGGATAAACCTAATTTTCAAAATTATTTTACTTATAAGCTGATGTATCAACAAATTATCGCTAATACTATATCTTATAAGGTAAATAGTATAAGTGAATCTGATCAGCAGGGTGTCCCACAAGGAATTGTTCCAAAACTCTTATTACTAAACAAATTTAAGCAGTCCGTATATTGTTATATGACAATGTTAAGGTGTTAAGGTCTTAAGAAATTGGGTGTACAACTCAGTCCACCCTGATAAAGTAAACAAACAAAATATAAATACTTTTTTTTTATGGGTTTGGAGTTTTGAAAAAAAGATAGTTTAAAAAAAGTGTTTCAACTATTTATTTGAGTCGCAAAAACGAAGTAATATAGTCGGTAGGGTTTGCGATGGCATAGGCGGTCATAAAACCAAAAGATAAGGTCCCGCACCCACTTACCTGCCAATGTTCTACCTTCGTCTATTACGCCCCGGTATCGTACCAAATAAGTACAGTAGTTTCCATTACAAAATAGGGCCGCATTTTTGAAAAACTGCTGTCGAAACGTCTGTCTTCGCAGTAAGCGGATTAATTGCCCAGAAAATTGTCTAAAATGTGAGTTGTTTAAAATTGTCAAAAAATCACAAAACAACCTTTCCGTATGCTACAGACGAAATAATTGCTGAAATGGGTCATCAAGTTTTAAAATAACCTAATTACCCTTGTCTTTTTAATGTCATAGAATTAGGGTTACCCAAAAAAAAAATCGGATCAGTTGTATAACACATACAGAAAATATAATAAAAGAATTCTGGGAAAAACAGAATACACTTGATATATTGATGTTAATGTAGACGAAGGATCATTTCCTGGCTGTAGCTGTTTCAATTTTCGTTCTGATGATGAAGATGTTTGAAACTTAATATGGTTTACATATTAACTCATTCCACATATTTTTGTTTTAATTTCCGATATTTTTGGAATTATTTTAATTTTTATTGCATAGACAATAGTTTATTTAACCAATTTGCAATTTTTTTTCATGTAAATTAACCTAGTTAAATATTCGCAAATCATTCGCTGATTCTATTATTACATAGAAAATACATGCCTCCATCTCTGAGAATGGGCGTACTAGTTAAATTAATTAATGCCAGGTACAATTGATTCTGTCTCTCCTACTCCCAAATAATATAATTGTGATCGTTAGTAACGGCTGCCTTGCATTGATCAGATGGACATTTAGGAGGGAACAACATCTGGTGAAGTATAAGCGGACGTGTGATGAACTATCTATTTTATTGTCTGGAATTTTATTGTCGACTGTGCCATCACAAATCGTACCGACCATAGATACAATTGTAATGCATAAACGTACAAAGTTAAATAAAACTTATGATCGTTATGCAGAAAAAGCATTAAATTAATATATATTTATTTAATTCGTGCATTAGATTTTTAACAACAAATAAATTATAACATTATTTTGAAACTATAATATGGAACAATCCCAAGGCCCATAAATAAATTAGTAAGGTTGTTTATAGTACGCATGATAGGTTGAAATCATTTCGTTTTTCATGCCTGTTTGAGTGCTTTTCAACTTGTATTTCGAACATTATATACTTACTATGCAAGCTTGTGTATTTTGTTCACGTTAAATAACTTATACTAGTATTTATTTTATAATTTTGAACTGAATGAAGATCACTGAGATATCACTTATACGTCCTAATACATTAAATATTGTTACGGAAAATTACATTGGCTTTTAATAAATATACTATTATATACTATTATATAACTAATATATTGATTCAATGAAAAATTTTGATTATAGCACGTGGAAACTTTATTGAAAAAGGATGTTGAGGGATGCACCTCATATTCCCTTACGAAGTGTAAAGTCTAAACAGTCTTCCAATAAATTTTTATAAAGATCTCGACCTTGTTTTCTTTTACTATCAATTTTTACTATTTGTTACTAGTTAGTAATAGCAGTTGTTCAGTTGGTAACATAGAAAAATAACTCACAATATTGTTCATTGTCATAGTTGCAAAGAAAGGAAACTAAGGCAAATAAGTATGACTAAGTATGTGAATATTATGAGTTAATATATTAGCTATAACAGCTGGTAATAATAAGAATAAGAATAAAAGTTCTGGAAAAAATTAGACGGTAAAAATACATTCTTTCCTTTCAAATTCGGCTTTTCTAAAAATGTGCAAAAAAATGATAAAGATTTTAAATTAATTGATAAAATAGTTGAATAAAAATAATGCGAAATGCACGTCTTTTGTACATTGATAAAATATGACCAACAAGTGCTGTTATAAAAAGTTGGTCGGGCTATTTCTCGAAACGAATGGGGAAAACTTAACATATCTAAAACATAACATATCTAAAATATATAAACGTTTGGTCAACACTCAACCATTAGGCGCTACAGATATGGCGGATTTTCTTTATCTTGAAAAAGAAAATAAACTAACAACAAAATATTACCGAAATATTCCCATTATAAAAACGCACTTTCTGCTTATCTTTTTACTTTTTTAAAATGAGTGAAGGCTATTGAACTGGACTACTCCTATAATTCTTCTTACCTAATTTTATGCGATGACAGAACGCTATTTTACCCTGGAAAATGCCTGGATTATGGATAGATTATGATTTTTTTATTAAACTAGTCTTGCCTTGTTATGAATTGCTCTAGATTAATTTTTTTTATCTGGAAAGTATTATGAAAAAATAACTGGAGACAAAAATTTTTAAAATAAAACATAAAATAAAAAGAAATTGTCATCGCATAAGTTTTTCCTTAAATTTAGTTAAGAAGAATGATAAGGGTAGTCTAATTCATTCGCCTCCACGTTTACAATAGTAATACTTCCGTAATATTTTATTGTTCTATTTATTTTCGTAATTTGGTAGTAGTTGGTGGAAGGAAAATAAAATCATTCTTCTCGCTTTACCCACAGAATATTTTGAAATTGTAATTCAAAAATACTGGAAATTGATATAGTTTGATTATTACAATAATAAAATAACCAATTAAATAAGTGCATTCAATAAGTGAATAAATTAATGAAAAAAAATTGGATACACTCTAGGATGGTGGACTTTTTTCATGGGACGTCGATTCAATACCCGGTGGGACACTCTGTATACCCCGTTCACCTTGGCAAATGAAAACTTTCGCCAGCTAAAAGGGTCTAACGATATTTCGAATTATCGCCCAAAAAGTAAGTAACGCTGTAAGCTAAACGGAAACAGAATACGATATAAGTTCGAGTCTTACCCCCTTTGGAGTCGTCCGTTTCGATCGGCTGTTTTAATGCCGTGATATCCCTGAAGGTCAAAAGGAACAACACCACCAGGTCCCGTTCGTTTTTTATCGGCGAAATCTGTAGTAGCAGCCATAGCGGCGTTTCTAAAAGAAACAAATTACAAACTAACGTTTCACCGGAAGCGACTCCTAAACTTAGGGCGGTCTTTCTTTAAACTGACAAGTAAGCATACAGATTTCATTCAATATGGAGGTAATCTGACGCAGCACTAAAGCAAAGCCATATTCCGCAAGCATCTATAAATTTTCAATCCTAGACTTATTTTCTCAACCCAAATTCTAACGACAAAATTTCACATCGACGATACTTCGTGAACATTTTATGATAGTGAGCGCTCCTAAAATTGGGTCGATTGGAAGTTGCTGATTTTTGTGGAATTCCGAAATATATTTTCTTCTACTGTAGCTGTACAAGAGAGCAGAAAACTTGCGTAAAAGAAAATCTAAAATCTAAACGTGTATGTTCTTTTTATCAGAATATGGTTTTGAATCCAGTTTGTACTCAATGGCACCGAACATTGATAAAGAAGGCTATTCCCTCTTTTAAATTTGTTGCAATTGAACAAAACATTTCCTAGTTATTTGACCTGCCTTAACCCAGGATCTACGAGGATGGGTTGATAAGTCCTGGGCCTAATATGGAGATGACTCCTCCATATAAATTTATATGGTACTCTCGGTAATTATGTTGGATACAGGATGTTTCAAATCAAATACGAAAAATTGAAGGGGTGATCCGTTTCCAAATACAGGGTAGTCTGTTATATAAGCTTTGGGTTAAATCTCAATCATTAAAACCATTGAAAAAGAAAATAGAACAACAAAATAGTAGGGATGTATTACTATTGTAAAAACACACTTTCTGCATGCATATTTTTTTAATGAGTTAGTTAAAACATAAAAACATTATTTTTCCTCCTTATTTGACGCGGGATATCTCCCGAATGGTTGGTTTTGACCCAAGGTTTACATAACAATCCTTTCTTTAAAATAAAAATTTTTTGACATTGTTTTGAAATGGCCTGTATATATCAGGTTATTACATTAATCAGTATTCATCTGACAGCATTTGGATCAAAGCACTATTGACATTTTTACAAAAATTGAGGATTTTGAAAAACATGTAATTACCAAACACTTCATTTAAATTGTTCGAAGCATTTTTAAATAAAAAAGGGGGTAGGCAATTTACTATAAGCTTAAAAAATGGATTTCTGGACTAACGACAATATCTGAAATTGTAGATAAAATCCCTAAAATAGTGCTGGAAGACGGCAGATTAAAATTGCCTGAGTTCACTGAAAGTGTAAGAATGTCAAAAGAGCGTGTTGGTAATATTTCGAATAATATTTTGTACAAGGGCAAGCTCTAAACAAAATTTTGATGAATTTTAGTGCCGATTTATAACTTGACATGCAAGCCGAATTATTTTATTGATTGCCTTGAAGGGGGCAAAAATCATCAATTAGTATATTTCGATCGGCGTATTGCGCTGTCATCTGTTTAACTTTATTTATTAATTGTAATTTCGCTGCATGCTTTGCTAAAATTCTAAAATTAGAATTAGCGCATTAAAGTTCGAAATGATTCCTCATCCACCCAGTGAATAGGCTCTGATCCCTAACATCAAAATTGAATTGGTCGTCAAAGATTTGAGAAGCACAGGGAAGTCTTTATTTTGAGGAGCTCAACGTTTCCGTTATAAGGACTGTAACATAATTAGAGCACCGCTGTTTTCAATGTCAGGTTCAGTACTCATCATAACGCTCTCGTAAAATTCGTTACGCCACTTGTGCCGTTCAGGTATACAAGGGATCATCCAAAGGAAGGAACCGTCTTGGAAGGGCACTTACTTTTGGTTATATTCCTACAGTTCTGAAGCTTCTAGTATCCGCAGCTGTGTGGGAAAGAGAGCGACGACTTAACTGCTAAGCTGGATGGCAAAGCGTCATTTAGATTCGGTGTTTTACTGGCTCAAGGGGAATTTTAAAGGTTGATTTTAATTTCCCGGTCTTTCGCGATACATTGTCTCAAATTTAGCCTATCGTTTTTAATTGCGTTGCATAAAATTTTATTTTCTTTTCACAATTAAGGAGTTGTTAACCATCAAGCTGGATGTAGTAGTGTTTATTAATTTTAATTCAGAACAATGACTGTGGAAGAGAAAAACTATAAACTAAAACTGAAATAAAAGTTTGTGTTCCTAAATTTTTCTCAAAATCAGCATGCTGTGACAATAAGAATAAGAGTTTGTTATAACAACAACATTAATACGTTAATATTTAAATTTGAGTTGCCTATTTAGGAGGAAATTACAAAAATGTGTTTGTGTATTTGTTTTTTTGTTTTAATGATGAAAGAAGACATGTATGACATTAATATTAGATGTTATCGAAAACATGATAATGGCGTTTGGTGATAAGCTGAATCCTATCCACAAAGATTTTCAGAAAAATCATCTACAGATCAGAATTGCAGAGGGTGTCAAAGTTGATAATGGTTTCCCGGAGTTGAAACGAAAACCAACAGCTAAAAAGCAATTTTAACACCATATGAAATTGATAATTTTTGTATAATCGTAACTTTAACTCTTGGGGCCAGGTAAAATCTGTTACCGTAGTCAATTTGCAGCGTTATTTCCCCAAAATAACGTTTATCCCAGAGGTTCTTGTCAATATCCGTTCTGGGGTCCATTTGTTTGCCGATGCCTTAGGTAGAGGATTTAATCCTCGAGCCATGTTTCCGAGCTAATTTTGCAATCGCGTGAATAATAAAATACCAACACGTATCAGGAGGGAATATCGCTATAACCATTTTAAAGTTTTATTGATGAATTTTATGAATTTTTCAAAGAAACTTTGAAACTTTGCATCAGAGCACTGTTATTAGATTTACGGATGACCGACTCCCAATTGGGACACTTGTCTCGCTATTAATGTTATTGGTTGATTAATTATTTCAGTTGATTTATTTTTGAGCTCTTAGATGCAAGAATTTCTGAGAATTTGAGATTTGTAAACCGTGCAGGTACCTGGATGCAATAAAACCTTTATTTGAAAAAACACCAAGTGTCGCCAAAACCACATTTTCAGGTGTTTTGGTTAGGGAAACTCGAAGCGTTACAATTTTTGGACACCCCGTATAATACGGGAAGGTTTTAATAATTTAAACATATTTTATTGTATTTAAATGCTTCTTAAGTAATCCAGAAATAAAAAATACTGTATTATAATATATACGGGGTTTTATTAAACCAGAAAAAATGAACTTTGGTAATATTTAGCATTTTTTTTATAATATGAAACTAATTATAAAAAGTAAATCGTATAAATATATTGTAAAATAATTCCACTTCATATTGGTAAGCTTTAATTTTTCGTTACTATCATTTTTTTAATTAAAAATATTTTTCTTTTCATTCGATCCCACCCTGTATATTCATTCGCGATTCAGATGTTATTTTCTAGTACAAACTCATCTCACTAGGCTGATGTTTATTTGGGTTTCTCCGGCTATAAATTATATTGTGCTACCGAAAAAAATGTATTGTTGGCTCTAAAAACGTACATTTATCATCTGACTCTGAGAGACTTAGGCGAAGTCTTCTCCAGCACAAAGGCACGACATCAAATGCACGACATAATGACCTTCATAAAGCATTCACGCAGCAGAATTTGATAAATCAGACCTCTTCGTTTGGCAAATTTATCTAAATACAAACCAAGGGACAAAATAGAAACAAAACTTTCAAACTTCTAAAAGGTGAAGAATACGGAAAACGGGTAAGATTTTCTACTACTAAGAAAAGCGTAGGTGAAGAAGAAAGATATTCCAAAATAATACTAGCAATTTTTATTACAGCGATTTTAGGTCAAAAAAATTACGTACCTTCCGGAATACCTGCATGGAAAAATAAATCGTTTTAGTCAAATTTGTTTACAATAAATTTTTTTAGGTTAGTGGGTTTCGGATTATTTCGAAGTAGTTTCAATGGTGGGATATGACTGGATGATTGAAATTTATAATGTATTTTTCACTGGGGCTGATTTACTTTGCTAAAGATATTAATAACATTTTCACGTACACAGACATACTTATATCAACGCTATGTTATATATTTCTTTCTACTGTTAAGATTCTAATGTGTAGCAATATATAACGACTTACACAAAGAGATACATACATATGCGCGAGAATACACACAAAGTAGAAAAGGCAATACCTAATAGTAGAGCTGACGTTGGGTAGCTTTGTATATCTTCGTAAAAGTAAGTCAACGTGAGAATTTTACATTTAAATCGTGTGGAACAATGCTGTGAACAAAAAATATTGGTACCCGGAACTCTGTTGAATTAATTTGTATATACAAGAAAGAGAAGAAAGTAGATGAAACCCTTTAAAACGGGCATTGCTGCTAAACAGAAACCAATTTTCCGACTAAAAGTTTAAGTTAAACTTTAAATTGGCTTTTATTTAGTTGCAACGCTCACATTGAAGCGCACTCATTTCGTAGTTTAAATGATTTCCGTTAATTGACATTCGGAGATTTAAAAAATATCTCGATTTATAAATTTGCAATTTCGTTCGTATCAGCGTTACATGTGAGCTGCCTAATTAACCGACGGGACAACTTGCAAGCAAACTAAACAAACTAAACAACACTTAATGATTAACAAACACATGCCGTATCTTAAGTACCTAATTCCAAGTCGGAGAACATATTTTGCACATTTAACAACCAGCCACGAAGCGTACATTGCTATCCACAAAAGAAAACTAACGGAAAAATTGATTAAAGTATAATTGAGATGGATCAGGTTTAATTCTGCTATTTTTGTTTCAATTTCGCTGCCAACTTACTATACTACAAGATGGCCACCAACATGGAAGAGTATTTATTAATCTTGTTCACTTATTTTTTCAGTAAAAATTAGGTTTAATCACTAACTCGGCCACTAATCAATTAGAGCCTAATTAATTTAGTCAACCTAATCAGTAAATTGTGAAATTGGAATGTATCTCTCTTGACACAAATAATACATTCAGTGTCTAGAAGAAATCGAGGTGATAGGGACGAAGAAAAA